TTCTGGTTTTCAAAGGGCTTTGTGCTAATCTCTTCAAAGCCATCCTAGTATGCATCAGCCTTATTTGCGCGCTTCCTTTGATTTTTGATCAGAAATTATTTTATTGGATTGAAAATACATTAGAAAACGATTCCATCAAGTAAAATGAATCACGGATTATCACTACGTAACATTGAAGTGCTTCACCCTTTGCTCCTCCTATAGATTTTTAAAACTTTGCTTTGTAGCCGACTCTGAATTAGTCGAAAATAATTTTCTATGCGCTTAAACTTTTTATAAAGTTAGCTTCTACTTGTCTTTTGGAGATTTTTTGTACAGCATCGACCTGCTTTAAGTAAAATCCATAAAGAACGATCTCACACGCATGGAAATTCATGAAATTTTCCAAATCCGTATTTTGTTGTCATCAGAAATGACTCAAATTAGGAAGAACAGGTTGATCAGAAAATAGAGCACAGATCAGATCTTTTCTAGTCGATATTCCATACTGCATATCGCAGATTGGAGCCCATGCTTAAGTATCATTTCCAAAAACTTTATTTAGTCACTACTTGTTCCCCTCTACTATGTTTTCCAGAGATGTCGCGAGCTGCTAGCCACCTTCTTAAACGGGTACTCATGGTACCTCCACAACATTTTACTGTCGAAGTATAACTCAAACCTTTATTGCTTTTACCCTGTATAGTTGATGTTCCATTGATTTCTTCAGTACAACATCAATCCATGGATGGGCGGAATTGTGGATAAAAAGAAAGCATTCGAACAGTGGAATGCGCTGAAGAAAACCATCGAGCAAGAAGGCGTTCAGGTAATTTGAGGTAGTTGATAATACACGATGAAGCACATCATTTGAAAGCCGTTGAAGCCGTCATAGCATTTATTTGATGAAAGCTAAGATTTAGTCAGTGGGCTTGTAGGCAAAGCAAACATCATTTGCGAACGGATTGCAGCAAATTTCAAATCATAATGACAATTTTTGTACGTCACGTTTTTTATGTATATCTGGCAAATGAATAGAATTAGCTTCAACTTTTTTGATTCGGTAATTTTCCAGCTCATGAAATTGAAGAATCATCGCAAACAAGCGATCGTTCTTTTTTGCTTTAACGAACCGAATATTTGAGAACGACTCATAATCCCCTATCAAACTCTTTCATCTCTCTCTTCTACACAAAAAGTTTCTACAAAAGTCAAACACAACACAAGAAATATAACGATGTTGTGTTATAATCGACGTTACCTACAGTATCTTCTTCAACTTTTCACTCTACTGGAACAGACTGGAAGCAGTGTATTACACATGAATGATCAGTGTTTTGTGTGAAAGATGTAATGCAATGATCCTTTTCTCTACATAGAGACTTACTACGTAAACAATATGGTCTCCTATGCGCAAAAACTACAAGCTCTAAATTGCAAACTGAGTCGAAAGATAAGAGTGAATTGAACTTTCAGAATAAATGTAAGAGGACTCGCGTGGATTGAAAAAGTTTAAGCCCTCAATTTCAATCCTATGATGTTTAAGAGTTATCGACATAAATATTTCACATTATTGGAATGATGGGGGAAGTTGGTAGGTGTCTCATCTTGCCATAACCTTACGTGGTACTGATTTTACACATTTCAAATCTGCTTAGCAGCTGTTCACTTGCATGGTTGAACCAGCAGACCTCCAGAACTAACATTATATACAACTTTAATATAGGAAAAAATACCAAGAAAACTGATAGTAATTAATAAAATTATCAAACTAGCAGTGAGTTTAATTTTACTTCTTTAAAACACCCTGAGTGAGACGTGAATAATTTGGGTTTAACCTTATTGAAAAAATAGCTTAATAAACGAGGTTTGATGAAGAAATTGTCAAATAAGGTATTGAACCAAACAGGAATGGAATAACTAGTCTTATTCGCATTTCCAAGCTTTTTATGGGAGAAAGGTAGGAGGATAGCCGCTTTCAGGAAGGATCCAACTTAATTTCCTTGGGAATATCTAGTTACTCAAACATGTCATAGATTTGAACGTATGACTCACCGATTCTAAAGAATAAACTGCAATTTTTGCGTTTAGGGATATTCGGCTTATCTCTGCTACTTTATTCTTTTTTAATTTCATTATC